TAAATGCATCTTGAAAAATTTGAAAATCTCTGTAGGGCAGAAGCACAAACTTCCAGTCTCAAATATGGATTTGATATGGAGGTTCTGGAAGTGTGGGTCAGGCAGAAGAAAACACAAAATTGTTAGACAGGGATTAACCATGTAAGGAGAGGGAGAGAGATACAGGCAGAATCTCTTACTCAAGATGAACACACATGGTCAATCAGCTGACATTTTAAAACAAATTCAAGGTTCAGCTATTAATAGACCACTGAAAATAAGTGAACTTAAAAGACATTAAATAAAGAAATAATATGCGAAGGAACAAAAAGTAGTGAAATCAAAACAAGTAGAAGTGAAACAGGAAAAGTTATGATGATCCAAACAGAAAACCAAAAATAAGATTATTGAAGTAAGAAACTCAAACAAGGTAAATTTCTACATTCCTCAATAAAAAAGTGTATTAACCAAGAGTCAGCCAGAATATAGTATAAAGACATACAGAGATAAATTATAAATCTCCAAAACATGTTGAACAAGAACTTCAGAGACTCTTCACCTACCAGTGAATTGACAACCAGAGAGAAAATGACTATAATTTTTCAAAAGTGAAGAGAAAAAATTAAAAATGTATCTCAACTGTCCAGTTGGATAATTTAAAAATACATATATCATTTTGTTTTTTTAGTACTGGGGATTGAACTCAGAGGCACTCAACCACTAAGCCACAACCCCAGCCTTATTTTGTATTTTATTTAGAGACAGGGTCTCACTGAGTTGCTTAGGATCTTGCCATTGCTCAGGCTGGCTTTGAACTTGTGATCCTCAGCGTCATGAGCTGCTGGGATTACAGGCATGCGCCATGGTGCCTGGCAGATAATTAAAATATACTGAAACCTGGAACACTGCACCAATATTTGAGAATATCACAGATAAAAACCTTAAAAGCTATCCAAAAAGGAGAATTACAAAATACAACAAGAATGAACCGCAAAAAGATGTTTCCCTAATAACAGATGGCAGAGGTCAATGAAGAGTATGAGTTGAGAAAGTCTAATAGCAAACAAGCTAAAAGTGAGAGCAACTTACATCCTTGTGGGAAAGGGAGGAGATAGGAAGACATATTTCTAAGACCATGTTGTGTTATCCCTGTCTCTTAAAATATTTTTAAACAGTATATGCTGAAGCCTATCATTTGCAACTATATCCCAGAATTATAGGATTGAAAATCCTGAGATGTTTTTAAAAATTTGGATATAGTAATTTTAAAGTTCATATGAATGAATAAATGCTAAAATATTTCTTAGAAAAAAATAGAGACAGGACTTAGGTTACAGATATAGAATAGTCTATGAAGCTACTATTAGGTATTAACATGAGAAAAGAACAGATAGACGGTGAAATAGCTTGGAAATTAAAAAATAATTCTGTATATGTAGAATGTTAATTTACAATGAAGGTGATATTTTGGTATTTCAATTCAATAGAAAAAAAAATGACTATTTAATATCAGTGATGTAAAACTAGCTAACCAACTGAATGAAAATAAAATTGAGCCCATAGCTCATATCACAAAATCAGATTGATTAAAGACAAATGTAAAAATATTTTAAAAAGACAGATCCTAGAAATTTAAATATTATATCAATGAGAAGCATAGTGAAATCAATATACCTGATTTCAAAGAAAGTTTGCAAAGTAGATTGATTATAAAAAGACTAGTGCCTGTTATAGTGTAAGAGTTTCTTTCCATAAGCTGACAAAACAATAAAAATTTAAAAAAATAAAAATAAAAAGCCCCAAAGAAAAATAATCAAAGGATATGTATGGGCAATTCAGGAAACGCAATTTCAAATGGCCAAAAAACATACTAAAAGAAGTTCAAATCCAACAGAAGTCAGATAAATGCAAATTACAGCCATTATGAGCTATCATTTTATAGCCAACAAACTAGAAAACTTTACTTAAAAAGAGTGATAACAGCTAGTGGAAATCACAGGAGAGAGGTATTCTCATGTAAGAGTGACAAGTGGAACATACTGAACTGGTTAGGAGGGCAGGCTGTAACTGAGTAATTCTTTTCTTGATTTTCCTTTTCTTTTTTGCAGTACTGTTAAAATTTTATTTTAAGGCTGGCTTCAAACTTGTGACCCTCCTGACTCACCCATCTGAGCTGCTGGGATTTCTGAGTGATTCTTAAACAATACTTAACTTCATTTAGATTACTGTATGAAATGAAGAATAGTGAGAGAGAAAAAAAAATCCAGAGTCACAAAACAATGCTTGGTATAGTCAATAAAGGTTTGCTATTATAATTACTGTTGGTAGAAATATGAATTGTTACAACTCCTCTGTAGAGTTGTTTGGCAATATTTATTAGATTTTAAAATATATATAACCTTCGGTGCAGGAAAAACATCATTAGAAAACATCATTACAAATATAAAAGTATCAGATTGATACTTAAAATAGTGGAGGAAACTAGAAACAACATGAATGCACATCAATAGGAAAATGGCAAAATAAGTTACAGTGTATCCACATTATGGACTATGATACAGCTTTTAAAGAAAATGATGGAGAGCCATATTTGTGCCCTTGAGGAATCTTTAATAGGCAATAATGAGAAGTGTATGTAGAGAAAAAAATGCATAGCCACTGAGTCCTTTCCCCTGCCCTTTTGTATTTTATTTAGAGACAGGATCTCACTGAGTTATATAGGCCCTCGCTAAGTTGCTGAGGCTGACTTTGAACTTGTGATCCTCCTGCCTTAGCCATCGGAGCCACTGGGATTACAGGTGGCACCAAAGGAGAACTGCTTTAATTTTATTTATAGACCTCAGCACCATACACCAGACGTGTGTGTATGTGTATTATACATACACATAACAATATCAGATTCAATAGCATATAAACATCATAAGAGCAGAGACTTTATTTTATTCACTGCTGTATCCCCAAGGCTTCATATATAACAGGTGTTCAAAAACTATGCTGACCAAATGAGTACATGTCATTTTTGTAAAATAATGATCAAAAAACACTCTTCAAGTTATTGCATACATTAAGTAGAATACATTTCATTTTGTGTAAAATCAAAATCACACATGTATGTACAAAAAAATATGTGCCTTATATATATATATGCATGTGTATGTATACACATGTGTGTATACATATTACCTATGAAATGTGTGTATGAGAACACATACACCAATATATCTATATATTTATATTTGTACACACATACAAAAACATTAATAGTAGGCAGAAAAATCACATCTATAGATTTGTAGAATGCTCCATAATATATTAAGGATGTAAGAAAAGAGTCTCTGAAGCCAAATTGGCTGGTTTTAATTCACAGTTCTCTTACTAGGTATGTCACTAGCAAGTTACTTAACCCTTTTGTGCCTCAGTTTTCTCATCTGCAATAATGTATACCTCACTGGCTTGCTGTAAGGATGAAACATGTTACAATAGTGCTTAGAACAAAATTAGGTGATATTTAAATTTTAACTATTGTTCTAAGTATTGAAAGAATTGAAAAATAATATGAATGATATTACTGGATGCTTTAAGATAGGTATTCTCAAATTTACAATACTGACATTTATTCTTTGCAGTGGTGGGGACCAAATTTACTTAGCATAAGCTAAGTAAGAACTCTAACTCCCTCCAGACCAGTACTGATATATTGGACCAGAAAACTCTTATTGTGAGCACTGTCCTTTGAATTGTAGGATGTTTAGTAGCATCCCTGGCCTCTATCCATTAGATATCAGTAGCACCACACCCCCAGTTGTGACAACCAAAAATGTCTCCATTGTCAAATGTCCCCCAGAAGGAGAAATCATCCTTAGTTGAGAATCACTGATTGCGGGGCTTGGAAATGGACAAGAGACATAGGAGGGTATATTTAGTTTTTAAGTATACACTCTCTCAACAGGTATACTATAAAAGTATGGACTACCTTTGTAATTATAAAAACATCTAATAAATTTTTGTAAATGACACTATTAAGGATAACCACAAAAATTAGAAAACTATAATCAATGATTTCTAAACCAGTAGAAAGTAAGGGAATATAGAAAATTTAAATAAGAAAAAAGAAGACGGGAAAGACAGAAGGAATTATAAGAATAAGCAGAAAACACAAGATGGAAGAAATATGTTCAAATGCATCAGTGATCACAATAAATAAAATGTATTTAACTCACCTATAAAAGAGATACTATCAAACTGGATTAAAAAAACAAACTCCAGCTATATGCTGCTTACAAGATACACCCTAAAATAAAACAATACAGAAAAGTTGAATATAAAAGAATGAAAAAAGACATAATAGTTAAATGTTCACTAAAATAAAACTAATAAAAGTATTATTATAAGTAAAAATAGAATTTAAGGCAAAATTCATCAAAAAAAATACAATGAAGAAATTCCATACACCTGATAAACACAACTCAGGAAACCATTAAAATTACAAAAAGAATTTCCATGGTTGAAGGTTTCACTAACACACTTGTCTAAGAAACTGACAGATCAAGTAGACATAAAATTAACACTCTTGTGCACCCACAAAGAAAGAGAATGCAAATGTTATAGCAAACAGAGAAAAATGTAAATAACTGTTGCATTTGGGTAAAGGATATGAAAAATTCTTTGTACTATTCTTGTAACTTTTCTGTGTTTGAAATTGTATACAAATAAAGATATGAAAAAAAAATACACCCAAACAACTACGCTGAACATAAATAAGTTGACCGTTTCATTTGAGAACTTGGGAAAAGAATGTCAGACAAAAATCTAAACACAGTAAAGACAAGGAAATAATATCTGAGCAGAAATTAGTGGAATGCAAGACAAAGAAATAATATAGGTGAATAAAACCAAAACATGGTTCTTTGAAAAGATGAAAAAAAAAAAAAAAACCCTAGCAAGATTATTTAAGGGAGAAACAAATAAAAGTACAAATGAAAAATATTAATGAGGGCCGCGCAGCCTGGGCCTGGGGCCTAGCCGGCTGGGCTTGGGGCGCGCGGGAGGGAGAGGGCCGGTCCTGACAGAGCGCCCTGGAGCGCGAGGGCCTGAGCGGCGTCGCCCGCCGCCTGCGGCCCTCTCTGCCCGCGCTCGGCCGCAGCCACCTCATCTGTGCCTGGGCCGGCTGGGGCCCGGGGAAACGTTTTTTTTAGGTGACGGTCTTCCTCTCCTTACAATTGTTGGCCGAGAAAGAACTGGAAACAAGATGTAACTTGGTGGTGGCAGTGCTTAGCCATGAAGATGTACCCACATACAGTTAGAGTTATTCAATGTCCAGGAATCAGAAGACATGTATTTGCATCTCTGGTTTTGCCATTTCTTAGTTGACTTGACTTTCACTGAGTATGTTTCTTCATCAGTAAAATTGAGGTATTTTTTTTACCACCTGTGGAAACTTTGTAATTCATTTTTCCTCACTGAAATATTAAGAATTATACCAAATTGAAAAGATATGAATGAGTATCCTAAAAAAAGAAAAAGGAAGACTTTACACCCTTCTCGTTATTCAGATTCCTCTGGAATAAGCAGAATTGCAGATGGATTCAATGGGATTTTTTCTGATCATTGTTACAGTGTCTGCTCTATGAGACAGCCAGACTTAAAATATTTTGACAACAAAGATGATGATTCTGATACCGAGACATCAAATGACTTGCCAAAATTTGCAGATGGAATCAAGGCCAGAAACAGAAATCAGAACTATCTGGTTCCCAGTCCTGTGCTTAGAATTATAGACCACACTGCCTTTTCTGCAGAAAAATCTGCTGATGTAGAAATTTGTGATGAAGAGTGTGATTCACCCGAATCAATCAACCAGCAAACTCAAGAGGAGAGTCCTATAGAAGTTCACACCGCTGAAGATGTCCCCATTGCTGTAGAAGTGCATGCCATTTCTGAGGATTATGACATAGAGACAGAAAACAATTCCTCTGAGAGCCTCCAAGACCAAACTGATGAAGAACCACCAGCTAAGCTTTGTAAAATTCTTGACAAGAGCCAAGCTTTGAATGTGACTGCTCAGCAGAAATGGCCTTTACTGAGAGCTAATAGCAGTGGCCTCTATAAATGTGAACTTTGTGAATTCAATAGTAAATATTTTTCTGATTTAAAACAGCATATGATCCTGAAGCATAAACGTACCGATTCAAATGTGTGTCGAGTATGTAAGGAAAGCTTCTCTACCAATATGCTTCTGATTGAACATGCCAAACTACACGAAGAAGATCCCTACATTTGTAAATACTGCGATTACAGGACAGTAATTTTTGAGAACCTCAGCCAGCACATTGCAGACACCCACTTTAGTGATCACCTGTATTGGTGTGAGCAGTGTGACGTGCAGTTCTCCTCAAGCAGCGAACTCTACCTGCATTTCCAGGAGCACAGCTGTGATGAACAGTACTTGTGTCAGTTCTGTGAACATGAAACAAATGATCCAGAAGACTTGCATAGCCATGTTGTAAATGAGCATGCGTGTAAATTAATAGAACTAAGCGATAAGTATAACAATGGAGAACACGGACAATACAGCCTCTTAAGCAAAATTACCTTTGACAAATGTAAGAACTTCTTTGTGTGTCAAGTATGTGGTTTTCGGAGTAGACTTCATACAAATGTTAACAGGCATGTTGCTATTGAACATACTAAAATATTTCCTCATGTTTGTGATGACTGTGGGAAAGGCTTTTCAAGTATGCTAGAATATTGCAAGCATTTAAATTCACATCTATCTGAAGGGATTTATTTATGTCAATATTGCGAATATTCAACAGGACAGATTGAAGATCTTAAAATTCATCTAGATTTCAAGCATTCGGCTGACTTGCCTCATAAATGTAGTGACTGCTTGATGAGGTTTGGAAATGAAAGGGAATTAATAAGTCACCTTCCAGTCCATGAAACAACTTGATTATTCTCTTTATTTTGATTTACATAATGTTTTTGTGAAATAATAAATTCAACCTTTTTTTTTTTTTGAAAAAAAAAAAAAAAAAAAAAAAATATTAATGAAATGGAATATGGAATAACAAAAGACACAATAGAGATCTGGCTTCATAAGAGAATAACTTGAACAATTTTGTAACAATAAACTAGAAAGTCTACAGCTAATAAGAATTCTCTAGAAAAATACTGCTTACCAAAATTGACTTCAGAAGAACTAGATTCACCAAATAAGCCAAGAATTATCTAATGAAGTAGAATAGTATTTAAAATTCTCCTCTTAAAAAATATTAGACTGGGTGAGGAGGGAAGAATAGAAGTTCATTGGATTAGACAAAGGGGAATGAAGAGAAGGGAAGGGGTATGGAAATAGAAAAGACAGTAGAAGAAATCAGATATAACTTTCCTATGTTCATAAATGAATACATGACAAGTGTTAATTCCACATCATGTACAACCACAAGAATGGGATCCTAATTAGAATAAATTACACTCCATGTATGTATAATATGTCAAAATATATTTTACTGTCATATATACAAATAAAAATATACTGGAAAAAAATATTAGATTTAAAGGTTATAAAAACTGAATGCTATAATCACTATATTCTCTACAACTATCTCAAAGTGTAGAAGAGGGAAAGCTGCTCAACTAATTTTATGAGTATACTTTTACTAACTAATGTTATTAAGAATATATTAGCAAATCAATGTAACAATGCATTTTAAAATAATCATCTACTAGAGTCAAGTGGTTTATCCTGGAATATATGGCTGGTTTAAAAATGAAAAAGATCAATCAGTGTAATTTTTTATTGTAGTAAGGAGAAAAAAAGATGATCATCTTATAAGATACAATAAAAAACCAGTAAATTTTAATACCCATTTATGATATAAATTCCTAGCAAACTAGCAAGAGAAACAAATACTGTTAGGTTGATAAAGGCTATAGAAAATATAATATTTGATGAAACTTTAGAAGTATTTGCACTAAAGTTAGATGAATGACAAATGCCTGCTACCATCTATACTATCAACATTTTTGTGGAGCTCTCAGCACAAGGACAAATAATAATAACAAAAAGAAGGAGTTAGAGGAAAGAAAATTTGGGGAAAAACATCCCACAGAAACTGGTATTTGCAGAAGATACGACTGCACAGAAGACATTTCAAAAAATCTACAAAGTATAGGAACCATTCAGAACTTATTTGCTGCATACAAGGCCAACATATAATAAATAACCTGCAAAGACAGAAAAATGTGACTTTAAAAAAGGTATTTGTGATGACAACCAAAATGATAAAGAATGTAAGCATAAACCTAAGAAAAGATAAAAAATAAGTATTACAGAATGTTGTTTACACATATAAAGAACACCTGAGGGTTGGGGATATAGCTCAGGTGTTAAGAGTGCTTGACTCGCCCGCACAAGGCCCTGGGTTCAATCCACAGCACCACACACACACAAAAAAAAAGCAGCATAATTTCTATGAAGATTGAAGTTTCAGGGGCTAGGGCTACAGCTCAGTTGGTAGAGTGCTTGCCTTGCATACACAAGGCCTTGGGTTCAATCCTCAGCACTACAAAAACAAAACAAAACAAAACAAAAAAAAAAACGCAATTTTGCAGAACAGGACAAAGTAATTCTGAAAGAATAATGGCCAGGAATGGATACAATTGAAAGTGCTTTTGGAAGCAGACAAATCAGTACAATCACATTTGATAATGTCCAACTACCTATGGAAACTCTACCACACATACATAAGGGACTTCGCTGTATAACAATTTATATAGCAAAAGATTGGAAAAGTCTGAATTTTATTAATAAAAGAATAGATAACTTGGAGTATATTCACATGATGGAATTAACATGCAGCTACCAGATGAACTAGAACTAATCTTAAAGTATTGGCATGGATAAGTTTTAAAAATATGATGCCAAAAGGTGGGGGAAAGTTGGAGGATTTATATGGTTCACTGTCATTTTTATAAGTGAAAAAACTCATAAAACACATATTATTGATGCATATCATATACCATGTAATATTAAAAATGATACATATCAGATGCAGGTTAATTGTTACTTCATGGGACGGAGGAATAAAAAGGAGACTTCAACTATATTTAGAACACCTTTGTTTCTCCAGATTTCTAAGACTAACCTGTGGCAATGACTTGTCCCCATCAGCATGCATCTTTAACTTCATCAATGCAACCTTTGCAGCTGTTTCACTGTTTTTGGCACCTTTCCGTCGTTTACTTGCTGTCTCTCCTGTCTTGGAATCTAAGAAGTAAATGTTAAGCATGTAAACACATAAGAACTTTTACATTACATTTCCAGAGTTTTATTTTAAGGCATTTATTCATTATGGCCCTAAAACATATACAAATTGCATACTATAGAGATTCAGGCACTATAGATGACTAATGGAAAAGTATCACTGAGGTTGATCAAGCAATCTCCACATCAAAAAATTTCACTGTTTCCAACTTAGCCTGTTTAATCTAAAGCAGTCACTAATGCTTCTACAAAAAAGTTCAGGATTTTATTATGGGAGATTTTAATACAGGTACTATCCTTAACACAAAATGAAAATTCTGCTGAACTAACATACTGGCAGAGATAACAAATCTAAGTCACAGATCTATTCTTTCTTGGTATCTTAGCAGCATTTATAACACAGCCAAACAGGCTTATTAAAGTTTGCTCTTAAGAGAAAGCAAACTACTATGTTAACCTCATGAATACCAACCAAATCTAAGCCAGGATGGTTAACCAGCTGATCTGATGGGCAGCCCAGCAAGAAGACCATCTTGTGCGGTACTTTCAAATAGCTTCCAGATTCTCTTTGGTCAGAGAGGCCTCGTAAGAAATAGTATTGCAAGAATGTCCTCAAAATACAAGTTATTACCACTGGAGCTATTAATGATACATTCCATAAATGGTAAGCAGAAATAAGAGGCAGGAGCTCTGGAACTAACAGAGAATACAGAAACAAGAAAATCAATAGAACAAGTTTTCTAGATACCTACCAATAATGTCTTTAACAAGTTTCTGAGTGTTAGACATTTGGGGCTTTTGGATTTCCAGTTTTTCACACTCATGATCTGACTGATGGCGATGTCTATGAACAACAGGAGAGTTTCACTAGCACATGTATTTGTATACAACTTAAACAGATATACAAAGCTTGAATGGTCTAAGTAAATACCTCAGGCAAAAATTCTTCTCACAGTAAGGACATATAACTGCCACAAGCTCTTTTTCAACACAGTTCTTGAATGAGCATGGGTAAGATTTATGTTTATCAGTCTTCAGTCTCTCATTGATTATAGTTACCTGAAAATGTAAAAGGGGGGAAATGGCATTATCCTCAACATTTAAAGTATATATGCAAATCCATTTTAGAAGGCAAAATTCACATCATTTTGGTTTAAACTCATTATATCAAGTTATATACTCTCACATAAAAATATAATGATTATTTAAAAAATGATTACTGAGGTTGGGGATATAGCTCAATTGGTAGAGTGCTTGCCTAACATGCACAAGGCCCTGGGTTCAATCCCCAGCACCACACACACAAAAAAAGGAAATGATTACGATGTTGAATTTTCTACATTTTCATAATTTTCCTACTATGGTATCTTTATCTTCTAATTTAAAATGACTGTTCAGTTACTCTCTGCAATTTTAATCTTCTATTTCAAAAAAGTCCCTCATACAAATGCCCCCATAATATGTTCAGGAAATCATCTTGTCAATCCGTAACTGGCAAGTCATAAGTACTTTCTATACAAGTTTTAGGGAACTAAACAGTTAACTTAGGGAATATACTACTTAAAATTACCTATTTACCCATGAGACAAAGGGCTAGACATAGTTTTATAATCATATACTATTTTCTATGCTATATTTTACATTGTCAAAAAACATTATATCAGGTGAAGACAAGATTTTTGTAAGAATTAAAAAAAAAAAAAAAATCCAGATCAGCCAGGCTGTTTGGCATTAAAGTAACCTAATTTATAAAGTTGAGTAAATTTAGGGAATTGTGTGAATACTATACAGCTTGAAGAAATTCTTTTACATTCATGTTGTACATTTTTGTTGCAATTTATTTCTTAAATATCCTTCCAAACTTGTTGCAGTAATCTAATGATAAAATTAATTTATTTCAATATTTATTTAATGAAATCCAATAATTTGAGTGACACTCATAGAAATCAAATGATACCCTTTAAAAAAAAAGCATAGGACAGATTTGTGAGCTGTATTAGAAACATTAATAAATTTTACTATAAACTCTAAAGGAGTATTTCCTTCCAATTAATCCTATAGAAAACTGACATATTAGATAATTTTTATTTTCCTCATTATACAGATTACTTAAACTTTAAAAACTCAGATTTTAAACTTTAAAGGTTCAGATTTTTGCAGGGATGTGCACTAGGGATGGAATCCAGAGTCTCACACATGCTAGGCGAGTGCTCTACCATCCCAAGTTCCTAAAAGTTCACATTTTGACTTAAGTTCATGTAATTTTATTTTTCTATAATTGAAAGAACACATGAAAAAATCATTGGAAACCTTGGCAATGTACTTGATAAATGGTGGGCAAGAATAAATGTCAACTTAAAAGTATTAAAGACAAATGTTGTTTTTCTAAATGGTGTGAATTCAGTCTAACTCCCCATCTCTCTTTGTCCATAGGAAGGTGGAACAACTTATCTGACTGCAAAATTGAAGATTATACTAGATATGGTAGGCCTAGCTTTCTCTTTTTCAAATGGAATTCATCTGTTTCTAGTGAGGAAGCCTAACTTGGTCCAGTGCTGCTGTGACTGGTGAGCCAATCTACCTAATTCTAGATTTCCTTTGCAGACCCAAATGTCTCTATATTAAGCTTCTTCATTCAACTAAATAACAAGGGTTTTTTGATTTGTATCTGCCAGCCCTTCCTTAGTCCATTAATTTGTCAGAATTAAGGTAGGGATTCTGCTGGATAAAAAGTTTGTTCCTAGTGTA